AAGAAAACCCAACCAAACCAAGCTAGGTCAGGGACAGAAAGAAAGCTAACAGACAGGTGTTCAAATACTTATCAGCAGCTATATCCTACTAATAAATAGTTAAAAAAATATATATTTGGATTTGTGGATTTGTTTCTTTTAGATTATGTCTCTCACAATGGACATGCACTTTTGATGACAATTTCAGACCCCTCCATGATTTCTAAGTGGGAGAACTTGCAAAATAGCAGGGTGTTCAAATACTTATTTTTTGTATGTATTATTTTTAAATGAAAAGAGTAGAAGAAGGCATTACATCATGAGTTTTCTAATTATGCGGTCACTTGTGGCTAAGATACAAAACTGCAGAACGCAATTTTTTTTGTTTTTTTTGTTTACAAACAAAAAATTGATCATGAGACTTGTGTATCAGCCAAGCCATCTCAATAAAAGACTCCTGACCTCCACCATATTGAACGGTCAGCAGTTGCTTTTTAACTGAGTAAAATCTCCATTAGGATTCATTAGAGCCTCTAGTAGGATATGTCCTGAGTGCATGATCCTCACCACTCAACAGCTCCTCTTTTCTCCTCTGGCTGGTACCATATGTCACCTTGCTTAATGCTTGTGCAAAGAATAGATAAAGAATCCCTAATCTGTCACTTATTTGATTTCTCATTGTGGTTATTCCACTCTACATATATGTTTTTATGTTTTACTACAATATTCCAGTCTTTTTTTCCTGAACCGACACCTTCTTTTTATTTTGTTTGTTGTTTTTTTCTTCCTGAAACCCAATTTTTCCCTATGTGTCTTTTGGGATGATATAAAGTGACCAATGACATCCCACTGCAGCCGTTGCCATGGTGATCTGTGACAGTGGGAAGCACCACCCAAGATGAATGGGCCATAAAAGTAGTAACAGAACAGCAAGGGGAGTGTAGAAAAGAAAGGAGCTTTAGTCCCACAGCTAGATGGAGAAAAAAGAAATGGGGCAAGAAATGTCATGAATTTTAAATAGTATATAGGTAATCAATATCCCACTCTAATGCAGACACTTAATATGCTTGTTTTTGTATTTTTTTCTAGCAGTCACAGTATAACACACTGTTTATATATCTTGCGTTTGTCACTGTGAAAAGAAATGCTGTCTATGAGCATTTTCCTATTCAGATTGTTTTGACCTTCATGTACTCTCTTCAAAGTATTAATCTAAATGTATGAGTATGAGACCACTCATGGCCATGTTTATTTTTTTCTCTTTTACTTTATTCCATCAGGCTAAGTAGAGTTATGTCCAAAGAAGCTCTTCCAGTTTCAAAAATGTTTGTTTCTCCAATTTGTTACACATCTAAAATGTTATGTAAGTAATTTCTAAGGGGAGTTTATATGAAACTACATATTTTTTTTTTCTGTAAGAATATATGTCACATGCCATCATGTCAAACCATGATTTGCACAGAGGCTTTGCTGCCATCACTCCTTCTTGATGTACAAACACATGACAGTGACACAACTTTGCTCACATGTGATGAGCTCATCGAACGATTCAGCACCTGTAATCTAGAATGGAGATCGACAGGTACAGGTTTTTTTTTAAGGCAGACGCTGATCATTTTTACACCAGTCTATCCGATCCCCAAAATGTGCAGATGATTACTTTATTTTAATAGGTTTAAAATAAACAGCTTCACCTTAATTGATTTTTCAAGCAATGACTGCCGAATGCACTAATTAATCTGCTGATGCTGATAAAAATGCAAATATCACCCAAAAATATTTACCAGACGATGTATCAGTCGATCTCTACTTGAAAAACCCACATCAAGAGAAATCATTATCACCCTTTTCTCAGCGTTAGTTTTGTTTGTTGCTGACCACACATTTAAAATAGAATGAATTGCAAGAACATGTTTCCATTTCAAAAGGGGACTGAGATTTCACACTGTGATTTATTTGTATGAGTGAAACACTGCCTACATGTTTCACTCTAAACCCTTCAACTAAATTTAAAGGGGTGCATGTTGTCACTAATGGCCCCTTTGAGATGCATCCTCGATGACTCACCTGATCTATCGCCGGGCAGATTTATTCCTAATATTTCCGATGGTACAGTCAACAACATGGTAATTGCTCGGTGGTGGAGATGTCACTGAAAATATGAGCATATTAAAAGCACAAGACATCAATTAGAGTTTAATCGATGCTTTACCGAAGCCACAGTGACTGTCCAGGCCAAGCAGTCAATCTACACTGGAGCACCTGATCTCCACTTCATTTCAGATGCCTACTTTAATTAAACGCAAGCCAACAGCAGGGAAGCAGTGTTATTAGCAGGATTACTGCTGCTGTCTCAGAGGGGGTCATGTTAGTGGATTATGTTTAGGTTTATTCCTGTCCAAATCTGTTTTTTTTCAACTTTCCATTAACTGCTGGGTTTCTTTAAGTTTTTACTGCTAAAAAGGAAAACATGAGTATTATTGTGGATTCTGCTATTGTTGCAGTTTTACTAGCTGTATTTAAATAGATGAGGATTTTCTGAAATGAATCAGTGTTGATAAGGATTTAAGCAAAAATAATAAATTGGTTTTGAAAAGTAAAATAACATAGAAAAGCTCTGCCCTAACACAGACTGAATATCTCTGTCAGTGTTTTACCTCCTTCTTCCGGTGTAAAAAAATCTCACAAGTGGGTAACAATTTTTACAGACAAACCAGAATATTTGCATGTTAAATGTAACCAGATGTTTAAGGTTTGGTCAACATTTACCATGCATACCAAGACTAGTAATGATGTTATTATCTGGCTGCTGTGAGGAGGAAAAAAAGTAATATATATATATATGTATGTAATATATATATATATGTATGTATATATATGTATGTATGTATGTATGTATATATATATATATTTTTTTTTTTTACCTTCTCTGGGCAAAATATATTTCCATTTAACGATATTGACCAGATGAAATATCATTTTTAATCATAGATACATTTATTACTTGTTTCTTTGTGCAGAATTTTACAAAAAGTTTGATGAAGTGATATTAATTAAACAGAGGTAAAATTGTGAAAATGACTAGGAAAAGAACTGACCCATTTATTAATGCCCAATCGTTACATAAGCTTTGAACAGAAACAGAGTTTTTCTGTCAGCTTGCCTGTATCTGACATTTGAGAAACAGGCTGATATAGTGCGATATTATTTTTTTGGCTGATATCTGACCAATTTCTTTTTTCAGTATCATTTATACTCAAATATCGGTACTTTTTACCACTTACTTTTCCCAAAACTGGCTTTTTACTTTTATAGATATCAACAAAAAAGGAAGCAAGTTGTAATTTTGTATCATTTAAGTTAAAATATTTTTTAACTTTTGTAATTAGAAAAAAAAATACTGGTTCTACTTTGTATTTAAGCAAATGAGTTCTGTCAGTATTTTATTTAGATGGGGATCTGCAGTTTTACTTCAGTAAAGAATATGACTATTTTTGACACCTCTGCCAGCTAGAAATTTTTGGACCTAGATCTATGCGCAGCTCTAGAACTAAACTCTTGAAATAGAAGAGGACTCTCACCCACTCCAGAGTTGCCTGTGGGGAGAAGCATTGGATAGGTGTGGGGATACTCACCAGCCCACAGCTGATGTGTGGTGCCTAGATTTGGGATTTTTTCTTTTGAGGAGTGTCGCCTCTTTGCATATTAAGGTTGCAAGAGGGAAAGAAAGAGCCCATTCATCGGTAGGCCACTTGGAGGCATTAGAAATTCTTTCCAAAGTAGATAAATTATGTTTAGTCACCTTCATTGTTGGATTTTATTTTTGATGCCTAACAGTCAGAGTATCTCCCCAAAGTTAAAATTCTGTGCTTCCTGCAGTTTCATTTTTGGTCAAACCTGTATGGATTTTACAAAATGAAAGATGACTGTGGGGTAGGTTTACTAAATGGAGCAGATCTGGATGCCTTGTATTCCTTTAAATGCTGAAGATGGGAAAACATGCTCAATCTGCCCTCCTTGCGCTTGAGCTAGAACTCCCTTCTACCACCAAATGTCAGGTAGCCTAAGCCAAATTGGCTGAAGAATGGCAGCAGGCAGCTGTTGTCCAGATTAAGTTCCCATCATCTCCACCTAGCTATACTGATCTCTCTAAAATAAATAATCTTTATTTAAATATTTTCCAGATATTTTAACAAATGTTATCAGGTGGAATATTCCACATAACAAGAATAACTAACCATTTGACTCATCAACTAAATAATGTCAGTTCAGACAAGTTGTAATCAGACATCTTTTAGAGTGTATTCCTTTCATTTCACAAAAATATGTGTTAATCTAAGGCAAAGAAAAACCCTGAAACGTACTTATCGGCTGCTCCTTTTAACCAGGACTGAGTCGGGGGGGGGGGGCATCTCTATCCATAACTGGTCTGTGCAAGCCTGTTCTTGTCTGATCTAGAATCCTTAAATTAGCTTTTTTCAAATTGGGGAAATGAATACAGATGAGACTGGGACAAACAAACCAGAATATTAGCTAAAAATAATAGACTACACTCTCAGGGGAAAAGTGTTTTCTCACTGTTTTCTCTCATTTGCAAATTAAAACTAAAGCGATCTTGGTAAACCTATGTTATGCTTGGCATGTTTTTTTACTGATTAAAACGGATTTCTTTACAGACATTTTGTTTTGCTCCTCTGTTCCATTTTTGTGTATTCTAAGAAAGGGAAAACATGGGTTCTGTAAACCTAGTAAACCTAAATTTTATTAGCATGGCTGAGGGAACAGAATTGCAATGATGTATTTCATGCTCAAAATTGTGTAACATGAAAATTTGCAGTGTGTAAACATATTAAATAGAATTATTGTCCTACTGTATGGTGCGTTTTGTATTTTTTTTTTCTTTTATTGAAATTGGCTTTGTGCAAGTAAATCTTAATCAGTAAATCAATAAATAGATTTACAGTAGACACTAATGAAATTTGTTCCATTTCCCATCTGCCTCCTCCATTTCTCTTTTGCAGGCAGTGTTGCAGCAAAAGGATGCCGCTGGTTAAGCGCACCATCGAGCCCAGGCACTTGTGCCACACGGTACTGCCTAGGAACATCAAGAATGAGCTGGAATGTGTGACCAACATCTCCTTGGCCAGTGTCATTCGCCAGCTCAGCAGCCTCAGTAAGTGAAACTTTACACTCATTGTTTAAAATAATAATACATACTTCTCTTGATATTGGCTAATAGTTTTGATAGGGGCAGTTCTTGTAAGAAATCTAAGCTGTTCATTGAAATGCAAAAATCAATCTATAAATGTGCACCCGTTTCTTTTTTCTTTTTCCCAGAACTCTATCTTTGGAAATGAAAAGCAGCATAAACCTGCTGATTTATAAACCCATTTTTAAATAACTTATAAAATAGAGTAGGGCTAGAACTAACAATTATTTTGCTAATTAATTAATCTTCTGATTATTTCTTGGATTAAAGATTTTTATCAGGATTAAACATAGTGAATCTAAAACTTTTCCATTTGAGGAGTCTTGGGTAGGAAAATATTGACTAATGAATAGTTTTCTATTCTTTTTCAATTTTGGTATAATTTCTCTGTCAGCTAAAGGCATATTTTAGAGTCTCTATACTCCAGTTAATGATCAATTACTAAATGAGTTAACAGTTATCTCAATAATCTATTAATTAGTATTGCAAAAGGATTTGAAATTCCCAGCAAGGAAAGCAGTTGGAAGCTACCTAAAAGAACTAGAGTTTTCCCCCTTTTCTTCTTAGAGTTACTCTTACACTGTTTATGTATCATGATAGAAGATTCATAATCATTGGGAAATATGAGATTTTCCCTTCTAATGTCTTGCTTAAACAGTATACTGATTTCCCCAACCTTAAATTAAATATATATAAATGTGATGTTATAATAAACTCTTTTTTTTCATACAATATTTTGTGGCAGCCGCTGCAAATATAACATGAAGAATTAAAAGTAATGGAAAATATGACACAAATTCATATACATTACAGCAAACATCTTACACATTAAAAAGTTGTTCAATAAATGACAAATTATTCCAGAGGATTATTTTTTATAAAAAAAAAAGAAAAACGGTAGTGCAACTGTATTGGCATGCAGTAATGACTGCTGTCCCTCATATTTGAAAACAGAAAACCATTATTTACCCTCTCATTGACCTGTGATGGGATTTGTTTGAACAGCAAAATAATGTGTAGCAATCCCATATGTACCTCTTGCTCTCGAGGTTTGCAAAAGTAATTGATTTATTGTCAGAACTGTTACTATGAGTGATTTTATCTCATATTTTTATGCATACAGTAAATAATACCATATTGACTAAACCTTAGTAATATTCCCAGGTCTAAATTTCCCCTGCAAATAAGAATGAATAAAGACCTGACCATGAGATAAATGTTTAGACCTCAGAGCCAGTTAGCACCGCAATGTGTCACATGAAATAGTTAATATTTGGCTACAGAAAAAAAAGCCATATAAAACTTAAATATTTGAAAATATGTTGATATATATTTTTAAGATGTGAAAGATAAATATTTAATCTTTAATCACGAATAAAACTGATTTGTTTTTCGGATTGGTGACATATTTCAGCCCTAGGGTGGAAAAATCTTTGGCCTCTCGTTAAAAGTTGTACAAAAAGTAAGCCTGTACATGAAATTCATCCATCCATCCACCCATCCATCCACTTTCTTACATGCTTACCCCAAGTGGGGTCGCGAGATCGCTGGTGTCTATCTTCAGCTGTCTACGGGTGAGAGGCGGGTACACCCTAGACAGGTCGCCAGTCCATTGCAGGGCAACACAGAAACAAACAGGACAAACAACCATTTACACACACACACTCACACTTAAGGGGACTTTAGAGAATCCAATTAACCTAACAGTCATGTTTTTTGGACTGTGGGAGGAAGCCAGAGTACCTGGAAAGAGCCCAGGCATGCTCAGGGAGAACATGCAAACTCCATGCAGAAACACCCCAGGCTGGGAATTGAACCCAGAACCTTGTTGCTGCAAGGCAGCAGTGCTACACACTGTTCCACCGAGCAGCCATTACATGAAATAATGTTTTATTTTTATAGTGTTTAATGTTTTTTGTTGTTGGAATTCATATAAATATACTGGTGTGATAACTTGGTATTTGTTTGATTGGTTTTTGCTCTATGTCTATTTTGAATTTATAGCCCCCCTTGGAGAAAAGCCGCCACTGCTTCAGTATCTAAACATCTAAAATAAGCATCACAGTTGCCTGGATGCACAATGTTTTACTATGAACCACTCTGCGTCCCACAGCGCCTACCATTTTAAGCTGGCCTGCTCTACTACAGAAACACCCAGTCACCACTTTGTTTCTTCACATCTCAATAAAAGAAACCTCTGAAACTATAAAAACCGAAACACAAGAAAAGCAGCATGGTGTGCTTTGATTGTGTTTGACAAAAGCATTTGCAATGTCTAACCAACAGATCCACAGTACATGTTACAGACTATCAAGGTCTCCTGAGTCAGTTTAGGGGAACAATAACTGACAGCTACATTCAAAGGAAAATGTTCTACAAAAGCGAAATGATTGCTCTGAACAATAGAGTAAACATTAGAAATCAGCTTTGACACAAAGCAGGTGCCTTACAGATACAAAGTAAGTTTTGTATCTTTTAGATAAATGTGACTTTTACATTTATTTGGAATCATTAACTGAATTTCTTTAATCATTTTTGCAGGTAAATATGCAGAGGACCTTTTTGGAGAGCTGTTCAATGAAGCCCACTCCTTCTCTTTCCGGGTCAACTCCCTGCAGGAGAGGGTGGACCGACTCTCCATCAGCGTCACGCAACTGGACCCCAAAGAAGAAGAATGTGAGTTTCATATTGATTCATCCATCCATCCATTTTCCATCATGCTTATCCCAAGTGGGGTCGCGAGGGGTGTTTGTGCCTATCTCTAGCTACGGGTGAAAGGCAGGGTACACCCTGGACAGGTCTCCAGTCCATCGCAGGGCACATATTGATTCAGAGCTTTGCAAAATTATTCAAACCCTTTGATTTTTTTTTCCTATTTAAACTGCTGAGTATTATCTTTGATTTTATGGGACTTACAAATGCAATGAAGTGCAGACATGAGTAATAAAAAAAAAAACACATGGTTGGCATCCGTTTGCATTTAATTCTCCTAGCCAGTGTTGTTGTAAATCTTTTTGGATTGGTCTCTACCAGCCTTAAATTTATTTTTGTAACATTTTTTAAGTCCAATCGTACTTGGCATTTCAAGCATAGTGTAGTTGCTTTGACGCTTGCTTGTCAACCCAAACAGTCAAGTTTGCTGCTTGGTCCTGTCAAGAGTTTCATTTTGTGGAGGAGTGGTAGTTGCCTAGTGGAGAGGCTGCCAGTTCAAACTACAGAATGGCAAATCTGGGCCCCTGAGCAAGACCCTTAACGCCACTTGCTCCTAAGGTGTTAAACAATGCAAGGGATAGATGGATTGTAAAGAACATCTTTTACTTTATCATACAAACAGCTAAAGGTGATTATATTAATAGGAAAACTTATGTCTAAACCTGCTTTCAAGAATCCCAATGGGATTCAGGTCTGGAACCCAAGTCGAACAATTTAACACATGGATATCTTCCAATCTAAACCATTTTATTGTAGTTCAAGTTGTATGTTTAGGTTCCTCAAGGTTCCCAACTGTTGCCTTGTATTTAACTTTTATATTTTTTATTTATTTTAATTTTTTTTAAAGAAACTAACCAGTTTCTGTTCTATCTTAAATCTGTACTTTTAGTATGATGCTTCCACCCCTTTGTACCTCAGTAATGATATTCTATTAGATTATTTTGCCTCATATGATGAAATAGTTGTTGGCCAGAAAGTAGAGTTATGTTTTCGTCTGACCAGAGCTTTGTCTTCCTCATGTTTGAATTCATGGCTTTTCCACATTGTTGTAATGACCAGCTTTGTCGAGTGTTTCCATTTAATAGTTGTCATGTCCATAGATTTTCCTACCTGAGTTGTGGATCTCTACTGCTCCTCCAGAGTTACTAAGAGTCATGTGACTGCTTCTCTGATTTATGCTTTCCTTCCCCAATCTGTCATTTTATTTGGAAGATAACTACTTTGTAAATCTGTATGGCCATCAAGAAGCTTTTAAAACCTTTGTATCATAAGTTCCATCAACAGTTATGCTTTTTGTGTTGTTTTTAACCTAAAATCCTAATGAAATACTTAAATGTGTTTTTGTATTGTGCCAAAATGAGAAAAAGTAAAAAATTAGAAACATCTTTAAAAGACTCTTTACACATAACCTATGCAAATCAATTCCTTTTATCTAGACAGAGCCTTTTAGAGCATGTTTTCTCAAGGCACTTTACAAAGAATTCAGTTAAATAATACAAGCAAATTGAAATAGAGTAGAAAACTTTTAACCAATCTATTATTGTTGTTCTTTTAATTCAAAACTATGTCTTCAATTCTATTTCCTCTTGGAACCAATAAATCATTGTTAAATTTAAATTAAACTAGTAGAATTAGACAAAGCCATTCATTTATATAAGAAAAATGACTTCTAAAGGCTTTTCTATGATATTGCCAGAATCTTCCGTGAGTTTTAATGGCTCTTACTGAAGGAACAGGTAGCTATAAGAATCAGATTTTATCTGCTATGGTAGTAAAACCAGTTCCAGTTTGAAACATTGCTCTCAAGTTTCTGTTTGACTTGCTGCTCATTTACTTGATAAATGTGTTTTCCTTCTGTGAAGAGGATCTTTGGGATCTTTGTTGTGAGCAATAAAAAGAAAATGTAATAATCTGTGTCCTCTGTCAAGTAAGCCAGGTTATCCAGAGAGAGGAGAGGCAGAACGACAGGATAGAGTTTCGGGTTGAGTCGGCAGTGAGTGTACAGTAAAGAACATGGGGAGAATCGCAGTGGTGTAATACCACGCTCCAAGGCACTGTATCGATTTCCCTTGGGCCTGCAGTGTGTTTAAAGCTTTGTTCAATGCCACTTTAACTGCTTCCTTGTCACTGACAGAGTAAAATGCTCTCCGGTTATGGCCTTTTTGAATGCAACTAGAGGCATCCCTTTTTCATAAAGCAATAAACTGTATGATATTGTGGACTCTGGATGTTATAACCTGCATGCTTACTGTACCTCCACCCTTCTCTCTTTTCAGTCCCATCTCCAACCCATTCATGTCCACCATTTAAACCAGACATTTACCAACGATTGAAAGAAAAAGATGGAAAGTTTATTTTTTTACTGTTATTCTTAATATAAAAATAAAAAGGTTTATGTTTAAGATAATTTAATGTTGTCAGAAAGTATTTCCTGAAATAAAAAGGAAGGAAAATAAGAGACAATCTATTATATATCTGATATTAGGAAGTTTCTTTCAATAAAGATTCTATTATATCTTTCTGCAATTTGGGATGGTCAAGATCAGGATATCAGGGTTTTGTAAGCTTCCTATTGGTTTACTTTCAACATTAATTTGATAAAGATTTTTAAATGTATTTAAAGCCATTTCCTCAAACACATTACTTTCTATATTAGAGCATAAAAAGATCAAAGGTTATCAATTGAGATCCGTAAGATTCTTGATGATCTTCCCAATTTTCGACAATCCTTGGCTTCAAATTCCAGATAGCTAGCCAAAGATGCCAAGTTTGTCTATTTAAACAATCATATGGAGTTATAAATAGCCTGAGGATGTTTAACCTTCATACTGTGCAGGAAAGAGACTGGTTCTATGCCCAAAAGCAGAAGACCTTGCAAAGGTACTGGGTAATGTTGCAAGAGAGCTGTACTGTTCAGAGTAAATGAGCCCTATACCAATGTGGGCTAAAAAGCCAACCAGGAGAGAAGAAGCCAGTTGAAAAATTCAAGAAAGAACATTAGATTATAGCAGACAAGGGAAAGGGCAACATGGAAACCTAACACATCATCCCAGTATGAAGTATGGGGGTGGCTCATATCAGAAAAATGTAACAGGCAGTACTGGAAAGGTGTGGGAGAGATTTTGACTGTTTGTGAGTTCACAACAAAGAGAGTACAGATTTTTGTTTTCACCAAATATGTTTTTGACAAGAACACAGGGAATGGACTCGGGGAGAACGGGAGAACGCAGCTTGCAAGCATAAATATGGGTCAATTAGAACAGAACACCACCACACACCCGGCTCATCTGGAGCTGCATTTCACCTCCTATTTTTAAAAGTCTCTAGATAATAATAAATTCTTACTGTTTTCATTAAGTGGGGGAATAATAGTTAACACAGTCAGATAAACACAAAATAAATTAACGTTTTGCCAAATAAAACAAAAAAATCGCCCTTAGAAAGGCTAAGGTTGGCCTCGGAGGTCTGCTGGTTGCCGCAGTTCTCTTGACATCTGAACTTTTTCTTTTAAATTACACACTAAATAAGACATATAAGACATATAGAGATGCTTAAAAGTATAAGAACTTTAAACTTATACTCTGAACTCTGTCACTGCTCCACTGATCACTGTCACTACCCAATCCGTACCGGAAGCACCATCGGCTCATTTGCGCATGTTCAAGCAGATAAGAATCCAGGTTGCCATAAATAATGTAATTATGGTACTAAAAGTACTTATTTCTATCCTTGAATAACTAAAGAATGCATTTCTTATGACTTTTCTGAGACAATTCAATGCTTTTTACATTATAGCTTGACTGATGTCATCATCAGATATGCTCAGAGTAGTCAGGCAAAATATGATTAAACAATGTTTAACTTTTTTTTTGTTATTTCTTTCTTTAGATCACACACTATATACCATAATGTTTACACGAAAGGAATAAATAAAACAAAAAGACTAGATTTATGTTTAAATCCAAAGCCAAAAAAGTTAGCTCCCAATAGTAGCGCAGAATACAGTTTCTGGTGCAGATAAGTGATAAAACAGAGAGGATTTTAATGCATTTATTTTATCAGGAAATACATTGTTAACCTTTAACACATTATAATTAAGTATAATTGCTATTTTTAAGGAGGGAAAAATGTAATCTAGTTCTTTTTTACAAATTAAAATCAAGGGTGACCCGGATGTATGTCTTGTTGCACATGCACAAATGAGCTGATAGTACGTGCTAACAGTACGGACTGGGTAGTGACAATACATGCTCGGTAAAGAGTGAGGGGCGAAAACGACATCCGAAGAATTTGTCCGTTATCGGTCTTGTGTACTTGTGAATTGGAACAGTTCTAGGGCTGAGGCTGAAGACGTTTAACCAGCACATGAAAAAAATGCACAAGTACACATATTTAGAAACGGCCTTTAACTCTGTTACCCTGGTTCTGTCAGGAAATATGGGCCGAAATTCCTTTATATTATCGTGAAATATATATATATATATATATATATATATATATATAATATATCATGTAGTTTTAAATAAAAATTAATGCAAGTTAATTTTGAATAAAAAAAAAAATGTTGCTAATTTGATGCCAAGCTAATTTGTTTCTTGTCTTTTTTTTTCTTTTTTTTTGCAAACGGAGATAATAAAACTGGCCTTAAAAAAGTTAAACTTTAATCTGCTTAAATGTGAGACTTATAAAAAAAAAACTCTTCATTTTTGGGGGGGATCTGGTAGTTGTGGGAGTCTGCTGTGCAGGGTTATTCCTGTAAAAAATTGCATATCATGTTCCAGTGCTTTTTCGAGTAGGAAACACAACTGCATCAACATACATGCAAAGGGGTTTTATTGTGTTAGATGTAGATGTAAGTTTTGTGGACAAAAAAAAACAGGTTGCAATAAGAGTTATGGATTTAAACTTTGGCAGCAATGTGCTTGTTCACTTCAATATCACACCACAGTGGTTGGGCAGATTTG